CCAACTGCAGTGATGAAGGCTAACCACATCCTGGAGTTGCATTATTAGGAATGTAGCCAGCATTATTAAGAATGTAGCCAGCAGGTTGAGGGAAGCGCTTATTACCCCCTTTTCAGCATTTGTGAGGCTATACTTTGTCCAGTGCAGGTCTCCTCTGCACAAGACAAGACACTGACATACTGGAGCAAGTCCAGCAGAGAGATGCTAAAATGATTAGGAGACTGGAGACTGAAGCACATGGCGTGAGGCTGAGAGCTGAATTTGCTCAGTCTTAAGATGAGAAAGCAACAGGGGAGATCTCACTGGTGTCTTCAGCTACTCAGTGGAAGGTTAGAAGGAAGATCAAGCCAAAATCGTCAGAGATGCACAGCAAATGGACAAGAAGCAAGAGTCACATTTCATAAGTTCTGACTAGATATAAGGAAAAAATTCTTCACAATGAGGGTGGTCAAGCATTACAGAACAGGTTGTCCAGGGAGATTGTGTCATATTCTTCCTTAGGGACACACAAAGCTCAGGTGCACTAGGCCCTGAGCAGCTTAATGCAACTTCAAAGCCACCATTTTGTGGACGTCCAGAGCTCCCTTCCAATCTACATTATTCTAGGATTCTACTATACTCTCCTCCCTTGTTTTAGTTTTGTAAAGTAGTTCCTTATTGTTTTGTAAAACAGTTCCTCTGTTCCTCTTCTTTGTATATTCCTGTTCTTCACATGTATAATATGCTTTCCTAGTCTAACTCATGCTGTATAGTTCTGCCACTATGATCACCTGTAATAAACCAGCTATGAAATCAGTGATGACCATGAAGGTTAAAGAATTAAGCAAGCAGTTTAAATGTAAGCAGTCAAAAATGCTTTAGAGAACACCTTCAGAAATGTCTTCTCATTTAGCATTAAAATACTGTTAGCTATGTTTTGGTATTTAGAAGGACTAAGGGAAAACACATTCATTTAAAGAAATTATTGAAAACACAGCACAAGAGTTCAGAAATAGGATTAAGCCAGATGCAGCTGCAATCTTCAAACTTAGTTTAAACCAAATCTGAGTATCTGCAACTGTAGCTTTCAAGTTATAATCATGCCATTGACCTTCCTTCCCCGCTCCCTTTTGTTTTTGGCCACTGAAGACTCTGACGCTTTCAATAGCTCCAAGTCAAGAACAACTCCCTTGTAACGATGACTCTGACATGGATATAGTGAGAGCAGATTGCCTGCAAGGAAACAAGAATAAACCAGCTATTTAGAGAGATTATGTAATGCATCCCAGAGCTGTAAAATGAGATTTAAAGAGACAGAACTCTGCATTTCAGCCCTGTAAGTAACCATAGAAGTTGAGCAATACTGTAACAATTTGAAGAGACAAATAGAGGAAGAAGTCTTGCCAAAGCATTCTCTCTCTGAGGTAGTATCTTATTCATAATTCTCACAAAACCAGTACCATTTGGCTATTTTGTCAAACCCTTTAAAACAAAGTTGAAACACCTCTTCATCTCAGAGATGTTTCAACCTCCAGTGGTTGCACATCAAGATGGTGCACAGATTTCTGCTACAAAAATGAGCTCTATGTGAACAAATACAATGCATCTTGTGGACCTGAGCTTGTTGAACTTCTGAAGCTTAGCACTCTCAATTAGCACAGTACTGCATGCTGAAAATCAAACCGATTATGAACAAATACAACAGAATTAGTCTTTCCTGCATGAATATTTTAGCAAGTGTAAACAAGATTCAAGCTTTTATAAGCAGCCAGTTCCCAAGTGAACACCCATGAACATCAGCTGGTTAAGCAAACGAAGACCAAGACTATGAACTGCCATGCAACACCATATTACAAACAGCAAGGAAAAACACAGCAAAGGCATGTGCGCTAAGGGAGACTAGTTCTGTGTATTGGACATTCTTACACAAAGCTGGAAGCTATAAAACCTTGAGGGTTTGTCCATGGATTTGTTTAGAGCATACATGCACACACAGAAAATACACGCACACTGATGCACAAAATAATGATTTTGTAGAAGAGTCCAGAACTGTTGAGCAGTTGTTGAGAGATTTCATTTCTGCATTTCTTCACTTTAGAATGGAAGGAAAAAAAAAAGGTACAATTACCTTAGGAATTCTAATGAAAAACTGGTTTTCATCTAAATCTGAACATCCTTTCATTAAAAGCCCCCAAAAATAGCACCATCATGCATTCAGCCAACCCCAGCTGCTTTGCTAGTGATTAAATAAGACAGTGAGCCCAGATCACCTCCTTTTCACCTCCCCTGAAAAAGGCATTACAGCAAGGAAGAATTTGGCCCAAACTACACGGGGGAGGAAAGGGAAAGCAGGGGGAGAGGGTTTTTTTTCTTTAAAATAAACCCAGGAAGTCCCTGCTCCGTTGCTGGACTTTTCCTCACATCATGTCAAGCCTGCAGGTTGCTGGCAAGCAGATCAGGCACAGTGCAAGACCTGCCAGCATTCCCAGACCACACACACGCTCTCAGCTGCTTTTGAATACACTGGGGATGAAGTGTATCTACCACCCATTCCTGCTTTCCAGAGCCTGGCTCTTCCCTGCAGCAACAGCCCATACAGAGCACTACATGGGGGAAAATCATGCCCTTACAGAAGTGAAGGTAGCACGCAGCCTTGATGCAAGAGCCACCAGCAAGCTGCAGGAACAGGTCTCCTGAACAGTTCTAGCAAGCTGTGCTGCACTGGCATCCCAACGGGATGCTAATTTCAGCAGTTCATTTGCAACTCAGTTAACTTCAGAAATGCAAACGTAGTAGTATCAGCAAATAAATAAATAAGCAGCTCAGCATTTTTTCTGATCAGATAGCATGGTGCTCCGAGGATAACTTCATTTTTAAAACAATCAACTATCAATGCACCTCAGTTTCACTCAATGAACAACCCATACTTTCTCTTTAAAATATATACTGTAAGTTCATTTACTTTGCCACACTTTCATGTCTAAACACAACGGATATTAACATAATTTCACGAAAAAAAACAGGCCATGATCACTGGCCCACAGTGACAGGTGAGATTTTCTAAGTTCACTGCCATAGCTCAATTTACAATTAAAACAATGTAAAACCAAAACTGTGATTAAATGCAGCAGACAACTATCTCATTATATAGCAGCAGAAAGAAAAGACATTCAAACACCAATTGCTCTACCTGAAATACCATCTGCTGCTTTCAATGCCTGGGACTGAGCAAGAACATCACTTAGCTTATTGGAAATAATTTTCCCAGAGACAGACCGGCAGCATGACAAATTGGCTACAAAGTTGGCTACAAAATCAAAGACCAAATTTTTTTTTCATCTATAAAGGACAGCCACAAAAAAACAGGTGGAGAGCCTCAGACAGGTATATGTGAAAACCAAATTGTTTTCCTGTTTCTCAAAACTATTTGGGAGCTAATTTCATTTAAATTTGATTTTAAGCAACCATCATTTCTTGTATTTGATGCTGACAGACTTTAGCCAAGTCAGAATTACTGTGTATGACTGGGGGTCCCACTCAGAAAAGCTGTGGGGAAGGAAGATGCTCAGACATATTTGCCAGCAAACACTCACCCAAGAAAGAAGTCATGTTCAGATTCCGGAAAAACACCTGCAATATCTTTGTGATTACCTTTCAGCATAAATGAAAGGGCTTTAGAAGGATTCAAGCACTCCAAGAAGCAATGGGATAGCATTTTCTCCCCTCAACATTTTACTTTTCTACAATTAAAGACAAGGAACTGAGCAGTCCATACGTACCACAGGCCAATTTACTTCTTAAATGCCCACATAAAATTATTGATTAAAAAAATTTTTATTAAAATGCCTTCATCCAAAGACAAGAAGTGGAATAAACCCACTAGAATACCTTATACAGGTTACACTTTATATAGGCATTTTTAAAACTTGGAAGTTAGCAACTTTGGACCTGACACTGAAACTAGCTCACAGAAAGTGCAAGCTTTACTCTGCCAAGCAAGCAGAGCTCAACACTGTTCAGTACAAACAGCTGAATAACATTCTGCATATAAATCCAGTGAATAATGCTGAGTAAAGCAGTCTGGATACATTTCAACAACATGGATCAATCTTAACCTTTCTATACCTATGGAGATACAGGATCAGATCAGTCTTATCTTTTGCATACCTATGCAGGCGGTGTTTGAGTTCCAAGTATAAGATTTTAATTTAGGAAAATACCTTTACCTAAAATAACCCACCCCCAAAAAGAGTACCATATTAATAAAATCCATCTATGTCCCTTGGTTAACTATGTCAGCTTCCAAGTGTTTGATATGATAGTCCATCAGCTGTCATACCCAAGAGTCATGAGACAAGAGTATTAATTAGCAAAAAAAAAGACAACTCTTGTCCATTAATATGAGTAACAGCAACTCAAAGAACATTCTCTTTCTGGAGTAAAAGCTGGTTTTATTCACTCACTTTAAGAGTGTAGATTCTGTAGATAGCAATTAAAATATAATGAGAATGTTTAAATATCTTATGAACACTACAATCTTTTTTCCATTTTTTCCCCTGCTCTGTTCAACAGTCACATACTAAGCACAATTACCACCAACTGTGCACATATACATAATATATGCATTATCTCACACTTATACCGCATATAAACAAAAGCATTTGAACAAGTATACTTAAAAATAAACATGCATAAAGCTTTACCAGAACTCTGATAAAATACAAAGCTACAATCACTTAAAATAAAAAGTTGCAATGGGCATGCCAACCTTGAAAAAGCCCTTTTAAACTACAATAGTATTATCAGGTGCCATTACCCTTTGTCAGCCAGCTACCTGACCTCATAAATCAGGCATAACAACCAAATGAGAGCACACTGTAAAATCAGCACAAGGCACACTTGTCTAATGAGTAAAAAGTGACCTGCCAAGGTTTTGAGGTCACATTCAAACCGAAAAAATTATTGTAATGAACCATATTAATAAAAACAAATCATACCAACACAACTAAGCTTGCACATACCATTCTGTAGAGTTTGTGCTCGTGACTCCTTCCCCAGATTGGCATGGAATCCTCCTCCTAAAGTTGGTGTTTTGCCTGCACCTATTAGGAAAAAAAAGACACCAAAACAACCCAGATATGTCAAATGCGATAACTGAATTAAAATATTAAAAGAAAACTTACTGTGCCACTACAGCCAGTACCTGTGTAATTTACAACATGCCAAATTACATTAATAAGGGCAACAGAAGTGCTTGAAGGGCTTACAACAATGAATACAATAATCCTGTGCAATTTATTTCTTCCTTGGGATACCTTAAGATTTACATGGCTCCACAAACCCTCCCAATCTCAGCTCCAAAATAAAGTACAAAAATGTCACAATCTCTGTTGTAGCCAGAACATGAAAATCAATATTGTAAAATACTTCTCGAAATAAATGATGAAACAATTGCTTAGTTCATATTTTTTTGTCTGAAGACTGTTCAATACATAATTTTAATATTAAAATTAACATTACTGGCACTATGGAACATAAGCATTTAGCATTCAATGACGACTGTGCTGGATACTACAGGCATAACACTTCAGACCAACATTAGGCACACCCACAGCAATACTTAGGCTACATAAAACACAAGTATGGAACTGCTACTTCTACATCTTGAGAGGTCGGAAATTAAATAAATCCAGGTTGCAAATCAGCATCAACTAGATGATGGCTTTTGCATCCCTGCCAATGCTGAGAAGCCTGAATGCAGAGTTTGCTAAGAGTCAATGGAACTACTCATACAAACCAAGCCCATAGAACAGGGAATTAAACTACCAAGGACAGAAACAGTCTCACACTAAAGCAGAAAGGGTTTTTTTAAAAAACAGTCAGGCTACCTCAGGCAGGATATCTGAATGTATCGGCTTAACAGCAAGTGAGACTAAAATGCTAAATTGCAAAGGACTGAAAAAAAGCAATTTGTTCGTAGTTAGACTTCTACTTAATTCAAGTAGTCTGCTCTTCAGAATCAGGAGAAAAGTCATCTTGTTGCCTATGATGCCTATCTACAGTTTTTCTCAGTTTCTTGTAGCTATGTTTTCTTACCTTTTACCAGTTCTCTAAAACACACTAGAATGTCGTTGGGATAGAATCACGCACGAAAGTGTCCCTTTGGCTAATTTGGGTCAGGTTTCCTGTCTCTGCTCCCTTACGGCTACTTGTGCCTCCCTCCTCACTGCAGAGCATGAGAGGATTGAGAAGTCCTTGACCAGGGTAAGCATTACTTAGCAACAACTAAAACATCGGCGTGTTATCAGCACTGTTCTCAGATTAAAGCTGAAAACACAGCACTGCACCAGCTACTAGGAAGAAAATTAAGCCCATCCCAGTGAAGACCAGGACACAGGTACAAGTGATGAGAAACTGTGACCTAAATTGTTCACTCCTACTGGACTCTCTTAGTCTCCTCTCAGCTGCATTTAATGCACACCCATGTTGAGGGGAAAAAAAAACAAATTAACAGAAAAAAACACAAACAGAAAAGCTAGTATTCCTGCAGTATTAGTGTCTATCAGCCTTCAAAGCGTAATTTTCCATACAACTTTTAAATTGGGTTTCTAGCGCTATCCACAACAGAAACCAACTTCATTTCATTAACATATCCTTTCAATAAACAATCATGAAAAACTCTCCCATAAATGCCCCACAGCTTAAGTACTTCAGCTCAACATTCCAGTTAGAAATGAAGAACATTCAATAGCAACCTACTCACTGGTTACTTAGATACAGCATTTACAGACAGCAATGTCTCCTTGCCATTCTTATAGGTACATCTCTTATTTCCACAAATGCTCCAAAACAAACCAAGCAATGATGCAAAACAGAGAGAGGTTACCAAACTACCCTAGCATACATTACATTTTTGGTATAAATTTAATAAGAACGGTTTTACCTGGGAGAGGCGAGGAGGGAGGGAATATATATATATATATATATATATATATATATATATCAATAGTGGCAATAGTTTTATGCTGCTTTTCTTCAGTAGCAAATCTAACTTCCTGAAACTCTGCCTCCTACCTTCATTTTTTCATTAAGATCTGCTTTATCACAGGCTACCTCACTTATCTGAGTTGCAGCCGGAGAGCACACACTCAAGCATCAGTACAGCAGAGAAGGCCATAAACTGCAGGACAAGAGCAGAAACACACAGCAGGGCAGGCTGGAGGTAGCAGGCTCATCCAGCACTGGAGTCAAAAGCACCGTTGCCCCCTCCTTTGCACAAAGGCTCCACTTTTCAGCCCCATCTATCTTTGAAAACACAAAAATATGGAACTCTGTTGGACTATCATTGCCAAAAGCCCTGATACTCTTTCACAAGTTTCCCTGTTATTACTAAAAAGCTTGCAAAAACAATCCTGCAGTGGCGGAAAACAATACTATTAACAAAATAATTTAACATACTCAGAAGCAAAAATCCAGACTGAATACAAACAACATAAAATTAAGCTGACATTTCAGTGTTTTTATTAAGATTCTTTTCATTAGACATCAAGATACAACATTGTACACAAAAGTTACATAAAAGTGATTTCTCTCCAAGCTACGGAGTCTGCAGCAGATACAGTGGAGCTATCCAAAAGGCAAATTTTGCTATCAGAATTGACATACCCATTTCTCAGTGAGTTAACTGGAAAAACTCTCTCTTTAATTAGCATTTGGCTTTGAAAACTGACAGAAAACTGGTATGTTGAGCTCTTACGCTCAGAACTGCAAACTACTGCTGCCACTGACTATGAAGTCCTACCACCAGCATTAATCTTCAGAGGCAGAACGCAAACCAAACTCATTAATGTAACTGTTCAGCTGGGTAATAAAAAAAAAAAAAAACTATTCCAAAACCCTGTGAAGTCATCAATTTCATATAAAAACAAAAATCCCTACGAAGCCCATAATTTAAAAGTACAAAGGAAAGGAACAGCAATCGCTAGGCACAACCAAATTAACATCCCAGCTTTAGTGAAATTTTTACATTTCTTGACCTTTTCCGTTTTTCCCTCTACAACTTCAAATGTGAAATAAACAGGCTTTGGGTTTTTCACATTCAGCTTTCAAGATCTACAAAAATATATCCGAGAAGTGTTTGGTGTCTTCAAGTGCTGCCTGCCAAATCCTCAACACTTACACTAACATTTCCCTAAGCCAACCCAAATATCCTCCTTCATGAGGTGGTGCCTCCCAAGGTACACTGTCATCTGCTGACTATTTTTAGAAACTAACTCAAGACTCTCAGCTTTACAAAACTGAAGTCTCGGCTTCTAAGTTAGCTTTGGATAATTACATGAAATTTTGGACAACAGAACGTGCGGAGAGATGTGTTAACAGCACAAACACACAGCTACTGAATATTCTGTGGTCCTCCCAGTGTGCCCCAACACACCAAAATAAGAGATCAGATCATGTACGTGGAAACTTGGTGATACTCAGTCAAAGCTTACACGGGTCCAGAGCCAGCCCATAACCACACATTACTCAAGTGCTAAACTACTGTAACTGTCCCTTCAAGCATCCCCACATCTGCTCCTTGCAGCACAGTCTGGGTCAGACCGAGGCACCTCAGCTGTACCTGGTGCTCCACTGACTCACTAATGAAGTAAGAAGTCACATCACCTGCTTCTCTACAAAAATGTTCCTCAAGCAGTAAAAGGAGCAAGCAAAACTTGAAGTCTGTGACAACCTTCAACAGCAACAAGAAGACAACAGATAGCAGGAACAACACTTATCCCTCCATAATGAGGGGGCAAAGAGCAGCCACTCGGGCATCTGCAGCTTAAAGGGCACTTTCCTGAGAGCTAGTGACATGCTGAGTTTCAGATTCAACACCTGGAAAAGAAACAGATTCAGTCCCAGCATTATGGATTTTGTTTCCTCTAGATAAATGAACAAGTGAAGACAGGGAATGAAGCAGCTTGTAACCTGAAATGAAGCATATCTGCTATTTGATAGGACCAGTTCTAACACAATCCTTCCCTATGAAATTAAAACCAAAAAACACCAGCTCTTTCTTCAGGAGAAGGCAGGAGAAAACCCTTCAATTTAAAACCCACATATTTACAGTTCCAGCATAAAATCTGGGTCTGATACTGCACACTTGCATCACATCAACGGTTTCATAATCAGGGTAGACTAAATAATCTAATATAAAACACGAATGAGCTTCCTACTTAAGTTAGATCATAAAAGTCAAAAGGAGAATAAGTTAATGTGCCATTTCAACTCATGCCTACAATAGCAAAATGATGTAATTAAAGTTTTTTTAACACACAAAACTACCAAAGTCTGCAACTGAAATAATTCTCAGCCATTTTTACAGGGACACTAACAGATCTGCACACACTACAGCCTGCTGAAATTGTACTGCTGAATAAATTTACATAGGCAAACTTTTAATCTACTCCATCATAGCTAGCTACCTATGGGCTTATTTTCATAACTACCAATCAAAGAGATAAATATACTGTTGCATCCACCATGCCTGAGTTTAGGACTGCACAAGTCTATGAAAGTTACATCCAACCGTTCACATCCAAGTTACGCACACAATTCTGCATTTTCACAACTGACAGCAGCATACTGCAGCACTTCAAGCAGGAATTTGTTGACACCACAAGGACAGCATGTAAGACTCAAGGCCAGAAAAAAACGCTATGCACTTAACTCTGATGCAAGATTGCCACCTGGAGGATCACAGAAAAGAAGCAAAAATCGATTCCGTTTATTTCACTAAAACATTTTTTTTTTTTGCATGAAATAGATGCAAATTTCCCCTCTTCCTTCCCAACACAATACGATTATAAATTAGTTTTGTAAAGAGAAAAACTAGCACAAAGTAAAACAAGTAAACAGTCCAGGATTTCCCACAAAAGGTCTGTAAATCCAGCATATCCATACTTCCTTCGCTGTTATAAATTATATCATGACCACTCTACATAACTAAAAATTAACATGAATTAGTGTCATTCTAGAAATCTGAACCACAAGTAAGAAGAAATTTGCCAATATTACCATTATTTTCATTTTTCACTACCCAGCGTTTTAATTTCAAGTT